CTTTGTGATACAAGGAAAAAAAAAAAAAAAGGTCATGCTGTTGGAAATGATCCAAAATTGTCTCCAAGAACTTGTTCCTCACACATCTTGAATGGTGATCTGTAGTTCTTTAGATTTGAATGATTTTGCAGCAATGATTTTTTTTTTAGGAATTATAAATGAATAATCTGTGACCTGAACAATTAGCACAACTCTTCCATTTGGGAGCTCCAGCTCTGTGTGGAAGACACTTGCAATGAGGGTTGCAGTGGCCTGTCGTTGCTGGCACCTAAGCATTTACCAATCTACTCTGTTCTTCTCCCATGCTTGTGACACTTGGCCTCCTAGATCTTCACATCTGACATTGTCATCTTCCTCCTTTTCTTTCTTTTCAGGATGTCCTCTGTTCAGTTTACTCTTAAACATACTTCACAAGTGAATAATGATAAAGGGGAATCAAAATGTTCATATCAAGAACCAATTTCTTCAGATCCCTAGAAAGTGCCTGGGTACCAAATAATCACTCATGTAAATTAAAATTGAAATGGACAAAGGGACTGTTATCAGGCTATCATCCTAGGCTTTCAAAGAGCATTATTCAATGTATCTGTAGCCATGACAAGAATTCATTCTAATTTTTACATACTCTTTTTGCTCATTAACCCACTGACTCTGAGTAATCCACGGGACCTTATTTTACCTAGATGGTACCTTCTTATAGCAACTATCTCCAACTCACATTGACCAGGACTCTTCATCCATTTAATTATAGAAACTGGAGGCATTAACTACTTACACATTTTTATTTAAAGGTTTTTTTTTTTTTTAGAACTTTATACATCGCAATGTGTTTGCATCATTTCTACACATCCCTTGCACCAATCCACAGGTCCTGTGTTGAACCTCCTTCCAATGACCTCTTCTTATACATTATTAATTATATATTTTTATGTTGTTATATTGTATTATGCAACTATTAACATATGTATATCTCCTACTAAGTCCATTTAATTTTACTTGTACGCACATGTATTAGGGACTGACTACATGGAGCTCATCTAAAATAACTCCTGCCGCAGCTATTAATTCACCAAATTTAATCATCTCGGGATGGGCCATTGTGAAATTTTCCCCATCCACGTTGATATTTCCCCTGATATTGTCACTATGCTGGTCTTGTTTAGGCAATCATGTTGTTGATACTTCATGAGTGCAGTTTTTCTCTTCTGTCTAGAAGTCACTATTTAACATGGTCTTCTGGTCCTTACAATTTTTACTGTGTGTTTCCCTGTCTTGCTTTGGATGGTGAATGTGGGGCTCTACAAGCAATGGAGTTTCCTGATGTGGGCACACCACCATTCCCTGACTCTTGTCTCAGCTCTTGTCTCCGATGGTGCATCCCTCAGCCTCTTGGTGCTGATTCTGTCAGTTACAGTCTAATGCTTCTGTCAGTTACAGTCTAAGGCTTGGTTTACTTGGGCCGCAGCATCCTTCAAATGGAGGAGTGTAGCTGCTCCAGTGCCATCTCCTTTCTTTCCTGGCCCAGATTTACACAGATTGGTCTTCTCAAGATAAATTTCAAACTCTACCATCTCTGTGCTTCTACATCACTCAAGACCAATATTAAATGCTTTCAGGCTCCTCAATCCCATTTACTTCTTAAGACAGAAGGAAAAATACTTTTTTCCCTTTCTCCTAAAAGATAATTTGGCAATCTCCACTAATATCATTTTCTGGTCTATTTAACCTAGTCTTTTTTGTATCAGTATATAAAGCTCATGTGCTTAAGTTCAGAGTTTACAGATAAATTGTATATGTTTTCCAGTGCTTTGGGTATGTATTTCACAATTTCTGGAAGAAACCACCACAATTTCATATGTACCTCAAGCAAAGACATATTAACTTGGGTTCAGCATATTTTAAACACATGTTAGAAGATAAAGAATGGATTTATGCTTAGAGATACATGATAATTTAGTCTGTTCATTACAATCCATGCTTTAACAGTTTTAATATCATTCCAGCTTGGTTTGTAATTTGACCAACAATATTTTTTTCTTTTTTATTATTAAGAAATTTTCTATTCATTTTACATACCAACCACAGATCCCCTCTCCTCCCTCCTTTTGCTCTCCAGCTTTTCCCCACAATCTACCCCCAATTCTCACCTCCTCCAAGGCAAGACCTCCTATTGGGAGGCAGCAGAGCCTGGTACATTCAGCTGAGGCAGGTCCAAACCCCTCCCCCTGCACCAAGGCTGTATAACGTGTCCTACCATAGGCACTGGGCTCCAAAAAGCCTGCTCATGCTCCAGGGATGGATCCTGATCCCACAGCCAGGGGCTCCTTAAGCAGGTTAAGCTACACAACTGTCTTGCCTGTGCAGAGGGTCCAGCCCAGTCCCAGGGAGGCTCCACAGCTATTGGTCGACAATGGAATACTATTCAGCAGTAAAAAACAATGACATCATGAAATTTGTAGGCAAATGGATAGAACTAGAAAATAGGTAACCCATACTCAGAAAGACAAACATGGTATGTACTCATTCATAAATGGATACTAGATGTAAAGCAAAGGATAGACAGACTACAACTCTCAGCTCCAGAGAAGCTAGCTAACACAGAGGACCCTAAGAGGGATGTATGGATCACCGTGGGAAGGGGGAATAGATGAGATCTCCATGAGTAAACTACTGTGGGGAGTGGCAATGGAGGTTAGGAGATGGGGGATAAGAACAGAAGGAAAGGGATGGTTGTGCTGGAACAAGGATGAGTAGGAGAGTAAGGAAAGAGATACTATGATAGAGGGAGACTTCATGGAGATAGGGAGAAATGGGGTGCTAGTGAAGTTCCCAGGAATTCATAAGGATGATCCCACCTTAGAATACTAGCAATAGTGGTGAAGATTCCTGAACTGGCTTACCACAGTCACCAGATTGGTGAATATCCTAACTGTCATCATAGAGCCTTTATCCAGTAACTGATGGAAGCAGATACAGAGATCCACAGCCAAGCACCAGGCTAAACTCCAGGAGTCCACAAAGAGAGAGAAGATGGATTCTATGAGCAAGGGGCATCAAGATCATGATGGGGAAGCCTGCAGAGACAACCAAACCAAACTAGTGGGAACTCATGAACTGCTGACCAACAATATTATAAAGAAGTAAGAAGGCCAGCCATAGTTGAAAATGGTGGTAAATGTGTTTAATCCAAGCACTCGTAAGGCAGTGGCAGACTGAGTTCTGTGTGTTAGAGGCCAGTCAGGTATACTGAAACCTTGTCTAAAAAAAGGAAGTATGAGAGTTTAAATGAAATTTCCCAGTCATCCATTTTAGAGCAGACTGAAATGTATTCTGGGAGAAATTAGTGCAGGCAACTGCTGTCAAGAAATGTTGAAGCATTTCAGGTCTCTAATAATATTTTCCTTTGGTTGAATTGGGAAGAACCTTTCTGAGTTCTGAGGGTCATATCTGAGAGCAATGTTATTATGAACAAAGGAATAAAAATCTGCAAAAAACGTCAAGACAGAATTTAAGTAAAGAAGAGTCAGATCTTTTTGTAAGATATACAAGGAGAAAGTAAGAGAGGTACACAACTTCTAAGTGAAAATGAGTCATCTTTGATTACCTGCTCTTTTAGGGGTATGTGTTACCTGAAGAAAAATCTTATAGCTGATAAATAGGATAAAAGTGCTTCACCATTTTCAGAAGTCTTCACCAAAAAAAAAACCTCTTGTAATCAGAATTCTCTATAGTGAAAAAGTAAAAAAGCTTATGTTGACAATTTCAAATAGAACACAAGGGTTTTGAGATCAAATTATGCTTATTACAGAAGGTACTCTAAAGAGCAGTGTGAAAAAATTGTCATTGATTTTCCTGTTAACTTATATACACAGATGTAGACTACCCAGAAAAAAATAACTTCAGCTAAAAATGACATATAACTCTAGTATGAAGCTTACATCTGTCAGTCAAGTAAATTATTAAACTATTCAAAAGTCATAATGGTTTATATTAAAATTTACATGTACCAAATATAATACCACTGAACTCTTTACTGGAAACTTCTGCTTATCTACTGCAGCATTGTTTCCAAAGTGTGAATTAGGACCAGCGCTATTACCATGTGAGACCCCCACATTGTAAACTCTGGAGTGTCAACTCACATTTACTACATGATAAACGGCAGAAATGCGACCCAGAAATTTGTGTTTCTAATAGTGTAAAGAACCACTGGTAGCAGAGACAATAATTCAGTCTGCCCTGGTGAGAGGGCTGTGTGGTCAATGAAGTGATTTTGCATTTTAGTGGGTCAGTCCAGGGAGGAGCTATCCTTTCTTTGGAAACTGAGGAGTCTTTGGAAACAAAGAAAGCAAGTAATTGTCAGGATAGGGGTAGATATTGTATAATCCAAAATTCTAAGACGTTCTACAACTGACTGTCTGTAGCACATGTCTATAGGACTAGACAATGTCTTCATCTCAAAACCAACTTCATTGATGAATTTTGAAATAAACATAGATACATGTTATCAAAACTAAGTCTTTTTTTCTGGAGAAGTAAATGCTTGAAGGGATGCGTTGGTATACTGAACCTCTGATTAGCATGTGAGACTGGGTCATCATTGGGAAAATACTGAGAGGAACAGATGACAAAGCTTGAAACTTGTTTCTTGGTGATCTCCCCATTTCTGTAGAGTGGTATAATCTAAGCAATACACAGACACAAAGAAAATTTAACATATGATAACACAAGACCCCTACTTTATAATGTGCTTCTAAACACAGATTCAGAACATATCTTTGAATATCAGGAAAGTTTAACAAAAGAAACTAAAGTGATATTAAGCAGACAATGTAAAGGACACAAAGTTTATTATCTATTGTGTGGCATTCTGAGACACCATGGGAAACATAAACTTGTTAAGATGAGCTGAAATACAAAGACAATTATAAAGCTATACCAGGTTAAGCCATATTTTCCTTTCATTTTCTGTACTTTTTCTATCTTATTCATTACTTCAGATGCTCTGATGTTCAAAATAATGTCAATATGGAAACAGACAGCACACTACCTATGGCTGGTTGAGCTGCTTGAATTGACGAAGATCCTGGTGCCCTCTGAGGAAAAATAAAATCTGTTTTGGATTCCAGGCCACATAAGCCAAGGATAACAGAGATGCATGTTTCAAGATGCTTCCATGGCACTGTCTTAACCTCCTTAAGGACTTGCGAAGTACTATTTGATAGTGTAGAGTAATGCAGAATAATAAAGATTGACACAAACTAAATGAGGCTTTTCTAGTGTATTCTTTCCTTCCCCAAAGTTACAGACAGTGATGAAGCACAGATAAAACAGAGAATACTGAGGATTTTAATATTATATTATATTTATTTAGTAGAGAGTGGTGGTATCAGAGAACTTTGATAATTAGTTATCTCTTTCAATCATGTGGGTTCCAGGGATTGAATTCAGATTGTCTGGTTTGGTGGCTAGGGCTTTTACCCAATAAGCTAACCCACCAGACCAAATTCTGTAGGATTCCTAGCTGTTAGGATTGTGTTTGGAGAAGTTTCAGGTTTTGATCACTTGTTTTCTTTTTTGTTTGCCTATTTGTTTGTCTTATAGTGCTGCAGATTAAATCCTTGGTCATGTACATGCTAGGCAAGCACTAACCCTGAACTACACTCCCAGCTCAAAAGTGGCAGTTTTTGCCTACAGGAGTATATTACTGTGTTGCAGAGCCTCTCTAACGGATGTTTAACTTCAGAAGCTCTTGGCCTATAGAAGGATATCTTATTGTTAACACCTCAATGTTGGGAGTTTGGCAACACAGAGGCTCTGCATCCAAGGCACAGAGGAACAGACTTGAGCACAGGGGAACAGTGTGAGGCTTGCCAGCAGTAAACTCAGGGTGGAATGTCAGATGGAGCACTGGATGCTTTAATAAAAAGCTGGAACATAACACAACATCAGAATGCCAGGAGCTGCATGAGAAAATATTTTTAATCCACAGTGAGCCAAGTTTATGAATTGAAACTTAAGTGCTGTCTGGCTATGTACGTATATGCATTCCATCCCAGTATCTTGGTGAATTTCATCACCTGTACAAGTAGTGGGTTTTCTTCAGTGTTTTCTAAAACTTCTGCTTGACTCATGCTCAAGAACCAAAATTAAAAAAAGAAAGAAAGAAAGAAAGAAGAAAGAAAAAAAAAACCTTTCATATTATTATGTCCTAAATCGAATCAACTTGAGGACATAAACCACAGTATACAATTCTACTATTCCAGCTAGAAATTTTCTCATCTGACTAAAGACAAGTAAAAATGTGATAACTTTGCTTTAATGAAGTCATTTTCAACATTGCTTTCATGGTGTAAGGTGACAAATCAGTCATTCGGCAGATAAAGGATTCTTTGAATCAAACAATAATTTGATTCCAGCTCCCCAACAAACACCCTACCATTCTTTCCCAACTGAGTGTGTTTTCAACTGATGATGTATTCAGACCCTGAATCAAAGGAGGCCCATCTTCCAGAAAGGCCAGAAGCCTATTGTGTGGCATGTCAGTCCATTTTGATAGGGGAATGGTTATTCAAAGTCTGTTTACAATTTAAAAGTGCTTACTAAGAACTATGTTAACCTACTTTGATGGACTTCTATTAAAAGTACAATGAAGAATCCAGTTTACCCTACCCTCATCTACAATGTCTTTAGAGCAGTCACATAAACAACTGGTGGACAGTTGTCGTAGGCTAATTCTATACTTCATCAGCTCACGCACATTGAGTTTTGCTCCCCTTTTTTCAAAGGGGCTCTTTTGCTCTGGGCAAAGGGGTCATTGACAGAATACAACTGCATAGAATGATTTGGAGATCACCAGGCTAGGTCTAGGAGAAAACACCATATTTAACAAGTCTAATAGTCCTTCATGGTGAACGATGACATCTCTCTACAAATCTGGCTGTGCATTTTTTGCTGAGTGAGACCTTATGGAGGTTAGAACCTAAGTGTCAAGTGAAAATGAGATGACTAATCAGGTCAGTCACTACACAGACACAGTAACATTCAAGTCCCAATAACGCTTGGCAAATGACACACTTTTAGTTATAATAGATGAATTTTTTCATTTAAATCATTGCAGAACAGTTAATAAAGTGATTGTCTCCAATCTGATTTTCTTTCTGATATAAACTTTCCTTGAATATATTGAAAAATAACCTAAAATACCACTGTCTTATATTTTTGTGTCTTTTTCTTAACTTTATTTATAAACCAAACTAGTTTATAGGAACATGTTTTTCAACGAATTCAAACTTTTAATTGAGCTATTGAATTCATTCAAGTAAAAAGAAAATTAACCAGATTCTTCTTCCTAATATGTAACTGGAACAATGACTAAATATTTTGCTCCATTTTTTTCTTCTTATACAAAACAAAATTTGGGAAAAATTGATCATAGCATTTAACTTACTCTTGTGTGCTGAATGATTCTCTTCCTCAGAAGAAAATATAATTTATTTGAACAAATCTTGTAGATATATTGAAAAAGGGAAAAATAATGCCATTTTGTTTTCTTTTTGTTGTGTGCCAGCACTAATTTGAGAGTGAAAAGATACCTTAGAAAATTATTGGTTTAAAAGTACATAGCTTTGGTTTGAGTTTCAGTTTTGTGTTTTATTAGTTCAGTTAGTTTCAGAAAGGTGTTAAGCCATCCTACATCAAACTCAACTCTAGGATAATAAAAATGATGATTATAGTTATAGCACTTCCCAGTTGAAAATTATTTATTAATAATATTATTAGACAACCAGGAACCCTGCATAGGACTGACATAAGCCCTTTCCATATATATTACAGTTGTATAGCTTGGTCCTCTTGTGGGTCTCCTAACAGTGGCATCAGGGGCTGTCTCCAACTCTTTTACTGGCTTTTGGGACCCTACTACTCATCCTGGGTTGTCTTGCCCAGCCTTAATACATGGAGAGGTGCTTGGTCTTACTACAACTTGATATGCCATTTTTGTTGATACTCATGGGAGACCTGCCTCTTCCTAAACACAAATAGAGGAATAGTGGGTTAGGGCATGGGAACAGAGGAGGGTTAGAGGGTAGGGACTGGGAGGAGAGAAGGGAGGGGAAATTGCATCCAGGATGTAAAATAAATGAATAAATAAATAATAAATAAATAAATATTAAAAATAATAATTCAAAAAGTTAGTGCTTTCTGAGACCTCAGTGTTTAGAAAGACTATGGCAATACTGATAAGTAACCCTGAAAGGAATAGTCTGGCATGCAGCTATGGAGGTTAGGCTCTGTTATGGGGCTCATTCTTTGGAAATTGCCTGCAGCCCACAGTAGAGTCTAGTATATACTATGTGGTTAACCTTCCCAAGAAGACCAATCAAGCAATTGCTAACTAATAACAAAAGAAGAGAGTCACTAGATGAAGAAAATACCTTCCTATTGATTTTTTTTTTTTTGTTATTCAGGAAGTAGCATCATTCCTTGCTTTGGTGCTAAAGCATGGCAGGGCAAAATTGGGTTGGGTTAGTAAAGAGGTCATATTTCAGTATGCTGACTCACTGTTACCTGCCTGTTCTATGATAATGGAGATAGACTAAATACTTTTCCTTTGCTGGCTGGGTTGGTGCTTTCTTACCAATTGGAAGGTTGATGGTGGCATTGGAGGAAGAAGGTATATTTTGCTGCTGGTTCTTGTGTTTTTGGTGGTCAGCTTTATACAGGGTACATCTCTATCTGATCTATTACCTCTGATTAGTGCATTTTCTCTGGTACTAAGGTGATTCAAGGAGTGGCATTCTTTTGAGTGCCACCTCCACTCTACCACACCCCATTGCATCCCATCGTTTCTTCTCTAGTTCTTAGCTTTTGCCAATTGAGATCAGCAGCAGGAGCCAGTGACCAAACAGCTTTCCCAGTAAAACAGGGTTTCCCTCTTAGTGTCTTTATTATGATGTACTGCTGGTGAGGTACCTCCCCATGAATGACTTCCACTGGCTCCTCTAACTTCATAACAAAGTCTAGTCTGTTCTGAGGATGATTTCTCCTATCCCCAAGAGAGCATATTTCCAGCAAGGCTTCTCAGCAAATTTCTCACTACACAAAGTACCCTGGCTATGCCAGTTGCGATGAAGCTTCATCTTAGTCTGATTGAACAGAAGTAGTTTGATTCTTCCAGTCTTATAGGTTGTGGTCATACACTAGTTTCTCTATTACAAATATATTTCTTCAGCTTTCCCTAGCTAATTCTTTATTGCTAAAATCTTACACTGATACTTCTTCATATTAAAAAGTCTGTCTTCAATTTGTGCCTGTACAGTTTCTATTTTTTTTTATTTATTGAACTCAGATTAATTTACCATAACTTTGACAGCATTTTATTCAAAATATTACTAAGCATCAGTGGACTTTCTGAAATCTTTGGGTGGTAATGAAATTGAGTAAGAATTCAATCAAATTTAAAGTGTTTGTTTATTAACTGATAGGTAACTGAAAACTGATTTCAGCACCTATTAAGAAAGGTCATACAAAGCTTAAAAGTTAACATCACTGTTAACACTATTTGCTTGATCTTTTATATTGTGACAAAGACCCTGTATTAATATGATTATGGTTATTAACTAAAGATTTATTTTTATATTATTCATTTAAGTTTAAAATTTGTAATCATACATTACTATTACCAACACTCAAGCCAGTATCTTCCTGGAAACGTGCCATGCTAGGCAGGGAATTAGGGACTCAGTAGCCGTCTTTACAGAGGAACCAACTGTCACCACATACTTCTAAGATCCAGAGAGAGCAACAGAAACCAAGGACTGGGTAAACCCTCATAGCAAAACAAGGTCAGATATCAACACCTAGAATTTTAATCATATCTAACCCAGATCTCTAGACAACAGTGTAAAAACATAATAACATCCAGGACAATATGTCTCTATTAGAGCCCAGCAATCCTACTATAGTAGGACCTGAGAAATGCAATATAGTTGAAGGACAAGAACATCAAAATAGCCTTTATGGATATGCTCAAGGATCTTTAAGAGCATACAAATAAATATATTAATGAAATCTATGAAAACACAAGCTAACAGTAGAATGAAATGAAGAAAACTGTTCAAGACATGAAAGTGGAAACAAAAAATAAAGGAAACTCAAACAAAGAGAAAACTGGAAATGAAAAATTTGAGAACTTCATCAGGAAATTCAGAGGCAAGTTTCATCCACAGAATCCAAGAGATGTAAAAGAAAA